CAGAGACGAAGAAAAGAATAATGGCTCCGGGGAAATCAGATTTGTGTCAAAATAGATCTGACCATAGCTATGGTGGCAGTTTGAAACACAATATTCTGTAGTGCACAGGTTGGCCACAGCCGCATAAGAATATCCGGCGCAGACACGACGCGGCGAGCAAATATTAGTATTCTGTAATTTCCGGTGTGGTGCGCGGAAACGCGAAGAACTCGAGACGATGTATCGTGGTAACGGAAATACACTGGTCGCGGCTATTGTCGGCGAACGATCGCGCAGTAATGTGTCGAACTAATCAAGTACCGCGCGTAAAAAGCATTTAAAGAATAATTTGTTGTATCGTTTTATACGCCATCTTCAAACCTTTACGCGGTTTAACCTTCAAACCTAACCTAAACCTTTACGGTTAGAATAGCAAAATTATTACAAAACTTAATTTATTAATTAAATATATTTATATTGTGGTACGATACAATGAAAATGTGGTAGAATAAATTCTAATAATATTTTCATTAGTATTGAAAATTTCAATAAGAGATAATCATCAAATATAATAAGTAAAAAATGAATAATTTGCAAAATACATCCAAGTATCATCAAATATTCATTATTTTTCGATTTCTTTTGCAGAACTCTGTATTGAGAAGAGGAAAGAACAATATTATTTATCAGAAAAGTAATTACCGCTAATGGTTTATGCTACATTAATTCCTTACGTAGTCATTTAAATAGTCTACTGGTTGCATATAAAATGGCCAATTAAATCTGCTCTTGATCCATAAAATAGTGGCTCGAAAAATCGATTAAGGTTGAAAACGGACGAGAGGAAGTCATTGATCTAAAAATAAGTAGAAAGTATTACGTGGAAGTTATATTATTTTATGGAAATTATTGGAAATTATGCATATAATCTTTTTATATAAATAATGTATATTTATTCATAAATCTGTATATTTATTCAAATATATGATATAGAACAGTGAATAGACTATGTCTCGAGGAATTATATACAAGGAAGTATATCTTTAACATTAAGAATATTTATTGACTACTACAATGATTTTATATTCTTTATAATCATCTACGTGCAATGGAATACTATGTTAAATTCAAACGAATATGAAACAATAAAATTGGTATTAATAATCATAAGACTTTATAGAGCTATTTCATTAATTTATGAACTTTTTATTTTTCAGACTCGTTAATTTCTCCATTAGAAATCAAATATTTTTTTAAATAGAAATATTTTCGAATATTAATACAGCAGTGATATTTAAATATAGATTTATAGTGATATTATATATATTTATGGACTGGTGATTTCCATGATAAGTTATCAAATACTTGAGTCAATTAATTTGTACACTTTCCAAAAATTCATTTATTTGTTACCCATAAACCGATAGAATTTACAAATGACAGTATATCTACATAAAGATTTTCAATAGAAGAAGAGAAGAGAAGAGTAAGTTGTTTTACGAGAACTTTAAACATTCAACTTTAAAGTATTAATCTTGGTGACACATACCATTTTCTAAGAAATCTTGGATTAGTCATTAGTAAATTGAAATAAAATTAAATAAAGACATTATCTAAGTCATCATTTTAAAATATTGCCTTCTTGCAAGGATAAAAAAATATTGCCCTCTAATAAAGATGTAGAATAAAAAAAATGTAGAAAAAAGGAAAAAGGGAACGTAATATAATTAAAATACTGAGACAATGGCTTATGAACAAAGTAATGTAATTATCTGAAATTTAAATGTAAAGTTATCTCTGAACAGTACATTCTTCAACGAATATCTAATTTCTCTATCATTTTTATCCAACATATCTATAGTAAATCACATCTTCTTCTGCACACTGCATAAATACATTTACGTAGTAAATACAACACATTTATACACATTCTCCACTGTTTCGCGATTTAAAATCATGACTTAAACAAAGACGTCCCCCCCCGTGATGAATAAAAATGAAGCGAAGAAGAAGCCCAGTTGGTTCATAAACGCTTCATAAACATCGGCCAAGGACGCTGTAAATTTCTGCAAAACCGGAAATTTCGTTCAAACACGTGATTTAGAGAGGAAAATGTTTCCGAGCTGTAAACCCGTCAACGTTGCTAGAAAGTCGGGAAAACAAACAAATTTGGTTTTGTGAATCGCGGTGTGGCGTTGAGTCGATGAACTCGAAGCAGGCCAGGTGAAAAACCACCTCTGCCTCTGCAGAGGAAACAGAGGGGACGAAGGGAACACGGAAGATAAGGGTGGCGAGGAAAACTCAGAAAACGAAGATTATTTTATACAATTAATTAACACATCAAGAGTCAACGTTCGATCATTTATAATTTCTTTCTATTAATTTAATATTATCGAGTTCACGCGAAATCTATGGCACGACGTTCAAAGAAAATTAGCTTGGCTTAAGAAAATGATATCAGTGTGAAACAATGTGAAACAGCAGCTTAACAATAATAAAATCTTTTAAATAATTTTAAATAATAAATAAATATCTGTTGCACATGTTGAACAATAAGCAACAGCAATATAAATTTTTAATCTAATATAAATAATGAAAATAATAATATAATATAATAATAAAAATAATATAAATTTTGTGCTACAAAAAACATTTTCCAAGTATAAACTTCAAATTTCAGAGTGAAAAGCTTTATTGATACAATTAAATTTTATTAACAAATGTCATTTCCCTTATTATATATATATATATATGATAAGGAAAATGACATTTGTTAATAAAATTTAATTGTATTAATAAAGCTTTTCACTCTGAAATTTAAAGTATATATATATATATATAAATATATTATATAATTATATAACATATTATAAATATAAGATATAATTATATAACATATTATAAATATAAGATATAATTATATAACATATAAATATAAGATATTATTATATAACATATAAATATAAGATATTAT